TAGTGAAGTATGAAGCCAAGCATGAGAAGTCTACAAAATGTTGGACCTTAACAGGATTTGGATCAAATGTGTGGTTTCCTATAGGCTTCAGCTGGCTTTGGATCAGACTATGCAAGTGCTCAAAATGGAGACTTATATTTTTGAAAGAAAAATGTAAAAATCAGCCAATGCAGAGTTGGTTTTCAGACAGTGTCTTGCTGGATAGACAGCTTACTGTGTGGTTGATGCTGGAGAAGTCGTGTCTCCACACTTTCTTGATTAATAAAATGGGAATTATACCAACTACCTTCCCAGCAGCCCTCTAAAGCTTGTGTAATGCTCACTAGAGTGCTGTGATGAAAGGTGTGTGTTTGTAAACAGTGTGTCATTTAACATTCTTACTACCTGTGATTTAATAGAAAGTATATGACAAAATGATATAGTATGTTTTTAACTCAGCAGTGACTCAGACGTGATGGTGATCACAGTGTGTGATTTGTTGTGGGTGTTTTTTTAGTGGTATCTGCATGGGTAGGACTGGTTTATTATTTCCATATGTTGACTTGGTATACCTGATATTTAGACTGAGTTACTGTCTCTATATGTGCATGTTTCTACGTAAGGCTGGGGACAGCATTGATTCCTGTGGTGCTGACACCATGGATTAAGCTTGTGAGGGTCTGGTTCTCTGTTCTGAGATCATCTCCAAATCTGCGGTTACCATCCTCAGTCATGGCTTTGCCAGCAAGGGAATTCACCCAACTGCATTATTCATGCCATGGAATAATCCCTCAGGAAAAGCTGTTGGTGACTGTCGCACAACTTCAGAAATACATTGTTCTGAAAAGAAAGAAGAGAAGCTGAAGTGTTGGAAGGAGTTATCTGTCTGAGCTGCCCATACCAGGACAGACATATATTGAGCGTCTAGTTCAGAAGAGTGTCCAGAACACTGGCTCTGTATATCATCAAACCAAACACTGTGAGCCACAGTGCCGTTCTTTATGCCCTGTTGTATAGTTAGGACCTGTCATAAAAGATCAGAAGCTGATTTCTGTTGCCTTTGACATAGGTATAAGTCAGGAGCAGTTCTGCTGACATCACTGTGATATGACAGGAGACTGCAAAATATCTCTTAGCAATAGTCAAATTTAATTTTACGTGAAAGGAGGGTGGATGCTACTGTACCACAGATTTCAAGGAGTTATGATCCAATCTAACCAATACCACAACGTTGTTCATAGTGTTTCATCTCTGAAGTAGCTCTCCCAAGACCAATTGAGATAATGAAACTGGGAGTGTTTCTCATTCTTGTCAGATGAAAATTGTCATTGAAGTTAAAGTGGTGGCTAGCAAGCCAAGTTACATTCTCAGTGCTTTAAAAATCAGAAGGTTTTTCTCACCATTTGTTGTTGAGGTTGTCTGATGAGCTTTCCTTTTGCTAATGCTATGTGATTTTTGAAGCAATAGCTTTGCTTTGTAAGTCCAACACTACAAAGTTTTAATTGACAGTATGTGATCTGGTATGGGATGACAAACCTCTCATCACTGATTGTTGATTCAAACACAGTGCCGCAACATGTTGGAAGTCTAATGGTGAATGAGTTCCTGCAATGGATTAGTGATTCAGTCCAAAGCAGAGGAGTGGCCATCCTACCATTAACTACTGCCACTTTATTGCCTAAGCAGTAAAGATGCTTTTAGAGCCCACAGACTCTGGCTAGAGCTTTGCCATTAGCTTCAGCCTCTGAAGGATCCAAACCTAAAGTGTCTGTGTTTAATCTCCACTGAAAATCAGGTGAGCCTGTCCTTTTGTCTCGTGTGAGTAAAGTGAAAGCTTCTTTGTTCCAGGGAAGTAATGGTGGTGCTGTTTGTAACTGTTTAGAAAAGCCTAACTGAGCTGCTTGCTTGAGTGAGGGGAGTAAGGGAGGCTGTGTAACTTGCAGGAAAGCAGTCTGTTTCAGAAGTGAGGGAGTGAGTCTCAAAATTCTTGTTTATTTCTTTGTTTATTTCTGTTAGCTTTTGAGTGAAGATAAAGGTTAATTAGATAGCAAATACCCTCAGGAAGCAGGATGCAAAAAAATATTTTAGAGGGCTGATTCACCGCAGTATTTCTGTGAAATTCAGGTCATACACTTTCCTATTTTGTTTTCTTGCACGTGAAAATGCATGAGAAAAAGTCTGTCCATCCCCTGGCTTTGCACAGCCTTCAGTCACATTTTAAGACAGAGAAAAAAATCAGCTCTTAGCAGAGTTAAGTCTCTAAGAGAAGTTTACAGTAAACAGTGAGTTTGACTTCTACAGTCCAGCTTTGCAAAGATAGTATGTAGTTTTGTATTGTGTAAAAGTGATAGAAAGATGAAGGAGGAAGAGCCTTAGCTTTTTTATTGCAAGACGCTGAACAGAAGACTCTCCGGACAGGAGATATATAGGAAATTCTTGTTTGTTCTGATTCTGCCTTGGTGGGTTAAAGAACAGTTTCATCTGGCTGTAATCTTTTGGATTAGTCTTTGGGTTGAATTTGACCGTGATGTATGTGCATCCACAGGCAATTTCAACATGTGACTCCTGGTACGCAGAAGACTTGAGATAATGAGTTATTTGCTGAATGTTTTGGCTGCTTTTTCTCTGCATTAATTGGTTTTATGCAGACTTACTGAATGTATGTAGAGGAGTTGGAAAGAGTACATATTTAATATGATTAATTATGTTTGCCTATTCAGTAGAAAATAGCTTATAAAATATGGTGTCTTCTGTTTTTCTTGGAAAAGGTTTAACAGCAGTGACTACTGTGCTTCAAAATGCGTCTTTTGAAGATGAGTTTTATTTGCTGCTCAGCTTGTTGTTTTAAATAAAAACTCCTGGCATGTTCTGGTTAATATTTACAAGTGAGGAAGGGAGTCAAAGTAGCCACATAAAAGCGCTGGGTATATTAAAGTGGGAAAAAAGTAGTTACCTGAGCTGTAAAACTCTGGAGCTAACATCCTTATTATTGCAAACTGGGACATTGGCTCCATGCCATCTCAAAGTGTGTCAGTCACAAGCTCAGTCTGTGCAGCACTACTGGCCTATTCTTTGAAAGACTTTTAGATAAACAGCTGACTGCCACAGAGCATTTGAGAGCTGGAGGTTATGGGTCTTGGTAACAAACAACAAACTGTAGGGCAAAGTTGTCTCTTTAAAGTGCCTTCACTTCCTACCAATGACACTTAACTAAATTGTTCCAAAGCTAGTTTTGTTTAAAGTCTTCTTTCCCCAACCTTTGTCAGGTTTTAGGAGCTCTGGATTTGAACACTCGGGATCCCTGTGTTTGAACATTACTCCAAGGGGCGTGTCAGATACAACAATAGTCTCCCTGGAGTTCACCCCTGAACTTCTCATATTTTGCTGGGACAGAAAGAATGACTGTTTATAAACTCATGATTGGAGTATCCCTCCATCATGCCATCAGCAAAAGGAAAAACAAGCACTTCTCTGCTGGTTTTGTTTAGCTGCTGCTTGCCGGCAAATTGGCTGGTTGCTACTCTTTCAGCTATTTGGGAGCGGATTTTTTATGGCAGTTGCATTCTGTTGTGTGGGGATGGGGTCTAGCACACCAGATTTCTCTTTGCTTAGGTATGTGTTCTTTCTTGTGGTGCTTAAGAAAAAAGAAGCACCTTTTTCTCTTCCTCTCTGCCTCTCAGCAAAGCTTTGGGCAACTGTCTTCAGAAGAATTTAGTGCTTTCCACACACAGCCTAGTAAAATTTTCATGGACATGATTTCTGTTAAGGGAAACAGTGGAGCATACATAATCCCATGATGATAGGGTAAGATTTTTGTAGTGCTGTGCAAATTTAAAACATATTGTGTTATTTAATTTAAATAATGCACAGCATGAAATGTTTACTCTGTCTTTAATCATAAAACCTTCACTACTAAAACAAAAGTCTAATTGAGAGAACCCCTATCTACGCTATCACCTACTAATTACCTACATTTACTGATGATAATACTCTTCTGCACATGTATATATAAGAACAAGGCTCTAATGCAGTAATTTGTTTTCAGTCAGACTTGCTGTTAAAACCATTCTTTGTTGCCAGAGTAGGTTAGATGGAACAACACAAGGTCTATGCTCTTGCTTTTGTAAGAACGACAATGCCAAGTATTCCCCTGTAGAGAAGATGAATAGAGCTATAAAGAAAGTGGCAGCTTCACCATTGCTTTCTTATCATTCTACACAATCCAACAGAAAATTAAGACCACTACTGAATTCCTGAAGATTGGTCAAAAAAAATAACAATCTCTGTACAGTTTTGTGGGAAACGGGAATTATTTCTGTGCAATACTGTAGGTTTTATGAGATTTGCAAAATTAAAAACAGAGAAGAAATATGGAAAAATCTTGCTCGAGGATTTTTTTCCTACAGAGAAGAGCACTGAAGCTATGGCGAATGCTTAGAGGCATCATTGGTCATTTTAGGAGCTGTTAGATAAGAGTTCCAATTTGTAACATAGTATTTTGTCTACTAAGTTTATACATACATTATGTATGATATGCAGTCACTGGGGAAGATTATACAAGGTTTATTGAATTCCCATCTTTAAGATAACTTAAGAGCCTCTATTTAGGTAGATGTTTAAAAAGGACAGAGAAGTTAAATTACTTAATACTTTAAAAAATTAGGCTTCTTTTCTTTTAAATGTTCATCAGGTTAGCTGTTGGCCAATTTTTAAGGCTAGCTTGTTATATGTTTGCTTTTCAGCTCATAATTACTAGAAAATCATGGTAAAACAGTAACAAAGTGACAGGGCCAGCCTTGAACTTAACACTAATGTATATTGTTTCCATATCCTTAGGGACATGAAGCCTCTTGGAAAGGCTTTCAAGAGGAAGAGCTAGTAGACTGCTCTGAAGTTGATACAAGCTTCTCTGAGAAAAAGAACAGGGCCTGGAGGACCTGTGATAGGGAGCAACTGTTTTCAGATACCTGCATTAAATCTCAGCCGTGCTTTTCTGCCAGCTGCTGCAGAGCAGAAGATTAGCAGACATGTCCATAGCACTCAAGCAAGTCTTTAATAAAGATAAGACTTTCCGCCCAAAACGCAAGTTTGAACCTGGAACCCAGAGGTTTGAACTTCACAAACGAGCACAGGCCTCTCTGAACTCAGGCGTGGACTTGAAAGCGGCTGTGCAGTTGCCCAGTGGAGAAGACCAAAATGACTGGGTGGCTGTCCATGTTGTTGACTTCTTCAATAGGATCAACCTCATTTATGGAACTATCTGTGAGTTCTGCACAGAGAGGACCTGCCCAGTGATGTCTGGAGGCCCTAAGTATGAGTACCGGTGGCAGGACGATATGAAGTACAAGAAGCCCACAGCGTTGCCAGCACCCCAATATATGAATCTTCTCATGGACTGGATCGAGGTGCAAATCAACAATGAGGATATATTTCCTACAAGTGTAGGTAAGTGCGAGGAAGAAGTCCTAAAGCATAAACTGCCTTTCATTCTGTGTACTAAGCATGTTCTCTTCCCACCCTCATTTTTAGGGATTGTGAAATTCAAGCCTTTAAACAGCAGGTGGGGAGGAGGAGGGTATCTTGCAGGAATAGTGTGAAATGTATGAAAAGTTAACTGTAGCTGCTAGATATGGTGGGGTTTGTTAGCCTAAAATGTTTTCATTCTAGGCATTTGTCCCTGATAAGCCTCTCAGGTTAATCACTAAGTGTGGTCAGCATTGCATTATTAGCTTGTTGAAAGCTAATCAAGTTTGCGTTGCTTTGCACTTTGCTTGGCCAGTTAGGCAGATGCAGAATGGATGGAAAGCAAAGCCTAATTAGAGTGATATCCTCCCTTCGAATTGTGTACAGCTGTGCACAGTACAAGGCAGTGGAGAGTCAGGAATGCAGTGGACTCTGCCCTCCCACCCTTTCTTGACTTTCCATCCAAAATTGACAAATTGGGAAGTGAATTATTGTCCAAATTACTGTTTCTAAGACTATATATAGCTAACAAGCTTTGCTATGGTTTAACCAGACAGCCCAGATGAGAGAGCTGTTAAAGGCAGCACAGTTTTCCTTTTATAATACTATAGTTAGTTTTCCTGAAGAGTGGGGCAAGTAGGTGGAAGTATCTTTGCTGGAATAGTTCCCTCTGGATGAGGAGGACTTTGCAGAAGAGTGCATTGTGTAGTGTAGACAGCCTAAATCTTTAGCTGTGGCTGCAGGTAATAAAAAAAGACAGGATGGTATACCTTAGAGATGTCAGTATACTTATGTAATTTTTAGCAGTTTTAGTTAATGAGTCCTGATTCAGTTCTTGCAAGTGGGAAAGCTGGGAGCTTGCTGTAAGAAATGAGATGTTATATATAAGTACTTGGCCCAGCTGAGTAACAAACAAGAAGAATGCTCTATGTTAAAATTAGTTCAGCCTCATATTTTGCAGTTTATACACAGCTGGGCCTGTGGCTAATTGGTAGCTAATACATCAAGAGGCTGTGTCTATCAGTATTTCCTGACCTTTGAAATACCTTATTCTTGGCCTTGACAGCTATTTGTCTGGACAAACGTGTGGTTTGTTTCCCAGTTCCTATTACTTTTCTTTTCTGCACTAATAGGAAGAAAGAAGGCAGTAACTATAGCTTTTAATCTGGACTTTGCCAGCACAGCAAAAAGAATGAGGATTTCAAAGGAAGCGGTACCGTGTATTTTATGTAGTGAAAAATGGGTTTGACTTCTCATGCATTTGTTGTTTTATGTTTCTTTAGGGTGAATGATTTTTGGAATTGAAGGTGGGTTGAAGGTGCAGTGAAGTATGTGATTTTTGCTTCCATTGGTATTTCTACAGGCTTTTGTTATACCAAGTTTCCATCTTGGAGTATTCCAATACTACTCTGTGCTCTTGCAGTTTCCATATGCAGAAAATGTGGTCTGTCTGCAAGCATGGGGAGCAGGTAATACACTGGCGTGCTGATGGGCTTTACTGAACCAACAAATAATCTATAACACACAAGCTTTCAGCTCTAGATGCTCCCCCCTCATGTTTGTAGTAAGATACATCTGGAGGAACTTTGTCTTGAAGGCTTACCTATTTTAAGCCTAAGAATGGAATTAGTAAATACCCTCAATCTACTGTTTTTCTCCTCCTAGCAGCTCCTGCTGTTGTAGATCAAAACAAATCTAAAGAAACTGAGAAAGGGGAAAGACCTGTGGTCTCTAGAATGGGGCTGGACTCTGATACAAGTCAGAACAGGAATGCTTGATGTCTGTGAAAAATCTTTGTCTCACTCTGAATTGACCCAAAGGAAGGGGAGAAGCCTGCTTGAGCCTTCATGGAGTGGTGGACTGCGCCATGGTTGTATTACAGACCAAGATGACTGGATAGCCCCATAAAGAGATTTTGTAGATACCCTTTGGAGCATTATTCCATAGAGCAGCACTTGCATCCGTATTCCACTCTCCCCTCCTCTTGAGCCTTTGTCACAGATACCATAGTAGCCATCTGCACACTTCTCATTATCTTCTTGATTCACCAATTTGTGGTATGAAACTGTTGGTAGAATTGCTTAGCAGGCCTTAGATCTTACAATACAGAAACAGATGCACACTGCGTTGATTTTGGCGTTCTGGGTACCTCTTCTCTCAGCAAGTCCCTACTTAGACACCCAAAATGGTCAAAGGGAATTTTGGGTCTGTTCCTGGGTAAGTTACTTTTCTTTCAAGGGAATCTTTCTGATTTCTTTGTACATCAATACCCTATCTGTAAAATGGAGATGATACTACCTGCCGGCCTGTCTGAGTACTGCTTGTAAAGCTGTTTAATGAAATGCAGTCACTCAGCATGTATATTGTTACATGTTTTGCTTTTCACAATTGATCAGAGAGAGAAGCTTTGTTATTGTGTTGGGTACTGTTTGTTCCTACCTGTTCTGCAGCAGCCTTTGGTTAGATGCATCATAGGCTTGGTATTAATGCAAACCACTATTTTCATTCAGAGAAATTAATGATGGTGAAAATGACAATTGTTCATTCTTCAAAGCAGTTGAAATAGATCTTGAAAGATTATATACTCAGATGTGAAAACGAAACAGGCTTAGGTATGTCCTTACTAATAGTACAACAATTTTAAAGCATTGAGTTGGCTGTAACTTAGAGATTAATTTATTGCTTTGAATCTTTGTAGCATATGGTCTGCAGAGAATTGTTCTGTAAAAAGTGTATGTCCAGTGGATGGGATTTGGGCTGACCTTTCCATTAGCAAACAAGTTTGGTGAAGAGATCCAGAGTGGGATTCGTAGGAGCTGTCCACAGAAACTTGAACACATTTTTCTCAGCTTAATCCTATTAAACTTGTCCTCTTTCATTTGACATATCTCATGCAAACTATCTAAAAAGGGATTTCAAGAACTGTGATTAAGCGCAGCTTTCACTGAGGAGCTACTTTCAAGGAAAATAATTTTGGGATAGGGATAGCCAGGCTCGGTGGGCTTTTTTTTGTGGTGGTGTTGTTCCTCTGTGCTTTAAAAAAACCACAAATGCAGTTGAGTTATACATTGTTATGAATGTTATATTTAACACTCCCTGTGTTTACATTGGCACGATGACCTCTGGCCACTTACCAGCCTCTGTACTTCCTGTGGTCTGGTGCTATTTCCCCTCTGCTTTCTCCAGTCATTCTGGTCTGTTCATTTGCTGGTAAAGAGCCTGTTCCTCCAGCCATTCTCACTAAACTGGCTGGCAGGAGAAAAGGGAGCTGGTATAGGAACGGAAGAGCTGTCAAGACTTGTGTGCAGGTGACAAAAACAGGTGCTGAATATTAGGACCACCTCGTTGTATAGCAAAGCTTTAAGGACTGTCTTTGTAAAACGGCCTCAGAGCCTGCAGAGGATTTTAGACATGAGTATGTCCTTGTTCTTATTTCCATTATTCTCAATTTCCTTTATCCATTTTAAGTGGATTTAAGGCATGTAAGAGGCTGACAGCTCTGGAAACAAGTTCTGCATGTAACCACAGATACACCCTGACCTGTCTCAGCCCTCACTGAGTGGGAATTCAGAAACAGAATGGAGGAGAGTTCACTCTGTATGCCTGCTCAGGCCACTCTGATGAAGCTATCCATATTAGTCCCCAGCATGAATTTTTGTAGTGTGCTGGAGTTTTATTTAGCCTTAGGGTAAACTCTCTTTCTCCAGTAAATACTAGTTGCTCTTCCAGGCACCTAGTAGTCTCACTATTTAAACACCTTTCAAGGGATATATTTCCCAGGCTTATATGGACAACTTAAATACTCCATAGCCTCAGAAGTACCTTCCCCCCCCCGCCCTTTTTTTTTATCTCTGTGCTTTTTGGTAAACAGGCTGAAGAAATCATTTGGAGTGGGAAGCAGTTGATACTTGGGACAGATGCAGGTTTTGGTGAACTGCAATTGTCAGCTTTCACAGTATGTGTTTGGGCAGTGTCAAAAAAGGAGCTAAGAAAGCAAGCAGCTCTCTACTGCTGTACTCCCTTCAGGCCCTGATTCCCAAACAAGACAAATTCAGTTGCCTTAGGTTTTTTCTCGTCCTCATTGCAGCCTTAAATTGGGAGTAATTCTGTCTTGTTTGGATTTTCAGTGAATGGAATGGTTTTTTCTGTTGTAAGCATCTCTGGGAAAAATATCCAGAAATTTAAGGCCACAGGGGATTATTTCATTTATTCTGATCTGGCCTCCAGCATAACACAGGCCAGAGAACATCACCACGTGATTTCTTCATCAGGTCCATAGTTTGAAGTGAGAAGACAGAGTGTTCTGCTGAAATAAACAAGAACATGAACTTCTTTTCTGACTTGACATAAAGAAAAACTTTTCCCAATGAGGACAATAAAGCACTTGAGAGGGGGCCCAGAGAGGTTGTGCTGTCTCCATCCTTTGGGGTTTTCAAGACCAGGCTGGACAAAGCCCTGAGCAACCTGATCTGATCTGATGACTATATAAAGCAGAAAGCTGGGATGCAGACCTCCCAAAATCTGTGCCAGCCTGAACTATCCTGTGATTCTTAGTTCTAATTTCAGCGCTGACAGGCTGCTTCAAGAGCAAGAGCTAAATTGATTAGAAACCAATTAAGCAGTTTAAGAAGCTGCAATTTGGCATTTAATGGAAGTACAAAATCACTTTTAAGCTATGAGAGTTTTTGTAGAGGAGGATTTCAAAGATTATTAAGTTACTGTAATCAAATAGCCTAGTTATGGCTGATCAAAATGAAAACATACTTTTAAAGTGTTTAAAGCCTAGAACTTCAGCTGAAAAATTAATGTATCTTTAGAAATGCACTGCCTGGTCCATGCTTAACTAGTAAATTTTGGTAGCTGGTAGCTTCAGAGTTTTTGCACAGAGCATGTGTGTGACGCTACTTCTAAAAGAGGAGCCCAGTATGTCACCACAATGCATCTACAAAAGCAGACCAAGACTCCGGAGTACCCTTGTGGAT